CTTATCAATTAGCTCTGAAGTTGTGACCTGTTGTAATTTCCTACTATTCTTTGGGTGTTACTCGATAGCATTCTCTGATTTGTTGACGTTGGCTGAAGGTAGTGCTAGTGCAATGTCATCCTCCTCGCTGGCAACTTCATTGCCTCCCAGCGCCTCTTCATCGTCCGCAGTCTCCATCTCGAGCAAAAATCTCTTCTGCTTGGCTGCAGTTAGCAATCCATGATGGATCAAATTCTTTATCATCTTCTATTGTTGGTGTTGAACTCGCGTAAACACCAATGAAATTCGACACCCTAACGGCATCGTAAACTCGTGCAAATTGACGCTACAATTGTTTAAATTTACTTTCCATTCGACGACTTTTTTTACTTCCCCGAAAACTCTTCTTTTATAACAGCAAAGGAGCTAACATCAAAGTCTGAAGACTCTTTGTCGAAGGCGGTACAGTGACTACGTCGAACCATGTCCTCAAGTGCATACCCTCGTAGCTCAAGATTCCCTTACTCGTTTCCAACGTTTTTGGGCTCATTGGAATGAGCACGCCAAGATCTAACTACTGAGATCATGTCTATCCACTGCTCTTACTCAATGTCTACTCCAAAATCCACTATTTACTCTTCTTCCAACTATAACTATTCTAAAAGTTTGAAAGTACTAAACTTCTACTTCTCAAACTTACTTCTTTCAAAGAATTTGAGAAACTATGTTACCACAGGGCATCTTGGAAATTGGTATATTAAGTTATCATGATTGGTCATGGAATATCGGTTCAATCGTCAAGCATACTTGGCTTCCTTCTCACTATATTTTTTGTTTTATGGTCGAGATCCAGACTTGTCAACATCAATTCGTTGTGAATCTAGCAAGATGGTGAATCTTGATAACCTTGATATGTGGATGAAAATGTGTACTTAACGTGCACATTTTGGAAAATTATGCCTGTAGCGTTTGAGAATCTTGCGATTGCTCAACGTAGAGATACGTTGCGATATGCAACCATCCGGAGAGGAGGTTATCGACCATCCATTCGTAGGTTTCATGTGGAGAACTACGTCTATTTACAGTAGACTGCATCAACAACATTAGATGTGACGGCGGGTTGCACTATCTTGCAAGTGCGAAAGATGTTATTGTGGTAATCCACTTTTTGTTTTTGTGCGGAATTTAAACATTTTTGGAAAACAAGTACGGCAACAGCAACTGTAAATAGTAATCGGTACACAAAAATAGAGTAAAAATGGAAGATCACGGGTCACGGAGAATCACGGAGTTGGGCACAATGTCGAGGACATGCACCTTGGACGGAACGGACGGTTTCTACTGAGGGGAGCGCCTCCGGCGCCTTTGGCAAAAGCTTTCTTGTTGAGGGGTCTTTGGCGAAGCGCCTTTGGCTCAGATCCCTGCAGAAGAGCTTTCGCTGAAGACGTATGATGCCCGGGACGGATGCGCCTTTGTTAAGGGAAAGCGACTTCCTCGCTAGACTACGCCCTCGGCGGAACGCCTTCGGCGATAGACTCCTTCGCCGAGCGCCTTCGGCGCAAGCGCTTTTGATGTTAGGTTTCGCCTTCGGCGGAAGGTCAAAACTTCGCCTTCGGCGGAGCACCTTTGGTGGAAACATGCACCCTTGGCGGAAGGACGCACCTACGATGAGAGCAACTTCGGCGGGAGAAGAAATGACACATACGACAGCGAGATGCAGTGACTTCGGTCGTGCGCCTTCGGCAGAAGGCGCACGTTTTCCTTCCGCCTTCGACGGAAGGAAAACGCCTTTGGCGATGCACAGGACGTGAAAGAGAAACCGGACGGAGCAAGAAGCTTCGCCGCTATGCCTTCGGCGGAAGACATGTCTTCGCCACAAGCGCCTTAGGCAGTAGACGCCTTCGGCGATGCACGAGCGGAGAATAGCTTCGGCGGAAAACGGCGGAATCAAGATCGAACGTACACGCGTGGGAGCCCGCGCAACGGCGGAGCGTGAATTCGAGCGTGCGAATTGGGCCGTTACGCCTCCGCGCCGACATCGCATTCAAGCGAGTTGCGGCCAATCCAAGTGTCGAACGTTGGGCGATCTTGATCGCCGAAGGAAGGGAAGACTTCGTCGCGCTCTCACTCTCCCATTTTTGATTTCGCGTTCACCGGATTCACATGCAATCTTGCGGAGAGAATTCTAAGAGTGAGGGGTGAGAGGAGCGCGCAGCAATCGAGTGCGCGGAAGTAGAAACTTGCGGGAGTCTTGTGGAGAATTCGCGGAGAACTTGCGGAGTGATCGCTGAGAGTGAAAAGAGTGTGCAATCGTAGTAGCTCGCGAAGACCTTGCACGGAGAGATTGCGGGAGTGCGCAAGAAGTGTAGAGAGAAATCACAGCGAGTTTGCTCGAGCTCCTGACGCGCAGAGAGAAGCAAGAAAGTTCGTGAAGGCAATGAGAAGAAGTGTGCATGAACTTGCAAGAAGTTCGATGGCCCGGTCCACCCAGCTGCGGATGGTTCCGCTGAAAGTGCCGTAGATTAGTCTGCGCGCATTTCAGCGCGAGCTGACTGCGATGAGGCTCGATTTCCTCCTATGGGGATGGAATTGAGTGTGTCCGGAGATGCTACGCGAGTGGTTGCGGGAGAAGAACCAACCTCCGCGCGAATTCCGACCGCATCCGGAGATATGGCAGGTCAGCAACTGGGAGCAAGTGTTGGGAAGGTGCGCGGGAGAAGAAGGCCATCTTCTTTTTGAATGTGAGAGTGTGTAGGTCACGAAAGAGGAAGAGATTTCCTTCGGGGCCTTATTCAAGCACAGCAAGTCGAGCAAGAATTGATACAAGACCCGTGACTACAAGGATCGCTTGCGGAAGAATGTCGCGGTAGCACTCCAATAAATTTTGCAGCCCCACCGGACCACCTACATGACTTCTTGGCAGGTGGAGTTCGTGAAGCTGGCGTTGGCTGGAGCTCCGATCCATTGGGCTCGGATTCTCTAGAGGACAACGAGACAGCACGCGCAGGAGGAGAAGGGGGGATCGATCAATCACCTCTCCCACTTCTTGATCAATTTCTATCGGTCGATGGAATGCTTGACAGCCACGGAGCGAGTGCAGTTTCCCTTGCTATCACGCAGCAATCCGGGCAAGTATGTGAAGGATGTCGAAGTCGACACCGACGAGGACAAGACGCCCGCTTGCACAAATTTAGAACTAGAAATGTCAGCCGCTCTCAGTAGGATAGGAGTAGATAAGAGTTCAGCGCGCGTGATAACTGCCGGATTGGCTAGCATCGCGGCTGTTGGGAGCTCGCATCTCAGCCATCGATGTTTCCGGGTGTTAGTTAGGAACAAAGAGACCCAATGCTCTACCTTTGGGGACTTTTCCATAAAATAATTTCTTAGTTTTCAGCTTGCATTACTCCGCGCAATAGTGAATTGTGTGTTTTGTCAACGGGCGCACGTTGCTTCAATTTTTTGAAGATACCGCATCCAAAGTAGAGAGTGCAATTCGGATGTTCTGAGTGGTGCATAGTGTAGCTCAAGATTTAAGCAAAACTGTACATTAGAAGCTCAGTGCAGCCGGCTGAATGTGTAATCTTGGGAAATCTATCCCCCATTTTGAATATCAATTGCAGAGTCGCATGCGGCTTTAGTATGGTCTTATTAGATGAATTTCAGGTTTTGAGTGTGATTTCATCCTGTAATGCGATGTCTTCAGACTCAAGACTTGCATTGTTTTCTCGGAATGACATATGCCTAAGAAGTAAAACTTCTAAATAGACTGTTAATTCCTGACACTACTTGGTTTTCTAGGATTGTTTTCGTCCTCGTGGGATCGAATCTTTACCATTATGCTTCATTTTGGTAATTGTGTGTCATTACAGAGTGTGATGATGCACATCCTCGGCGACGACACCCATCACCGAGGCTTTGATAGACGTCTTGTGAGCCGTGGATCAGCTCGCTCCTCGCGTGCTTTTGGAGGATCCGGGTCCAAGGAAGCTCGACTACATCAACGATGATCGCCACGTGCCAAACGTTCATATTTGTCAGACAAGCCAAGAATCAACGAACTCTTTCAGGACACATTGAGAGGAAAGGAGGGACGAGGGCCGAGGGAGGGGGGCCATTGCCTCCTCCCTCTCTCTTCGTGCCTGCCATGCTACGCTGCGCAGGCCATTGACGACGATCTGATGAGGAAGGCCGAAAATGACAAACTTCATCCAACCTAGGAGACAACATTCACAGCGGAGATCAAATGCTGAAGCGCGTCAGCGTTCGCGCGGAGGTGGCAGGTATGGCTTTGACATGGCGTCTACCACAGAGTCATTTTTGACGCAGAGAGGAAAGAAAGGAAAGAAGTAAAACCCGAGAAGTTGCTACTCACCCCAGTGAAGCTATAACCCGACAAGACCAATCAAGGAAGAACGTACAATAGGGTGAAAGCTCATTAGCGCTAAGTGAGGGATAATTAGCCGCCCCCAATCTAATGTACCATTTTAGAACATATCCTTTTCATTTACATGCTTCTTACTGCTGCCATGTCGATAACTCAACTTTACAGCGGTTTAGTATCTCCAAAGGTGTAATAGTGTATCGGAAAGAGTTAGAATTGAGAAGAGAAACGGAACCTATAGTAATGTTCCAGGACAAAGATAGTGAACAGCATCACCTTGTATGTGTATTTACCGACCTGCATGTATCCGTGACCTTATTTAATATCGGTAGCTAGTTTACACCAACATCAAGCATGTGATAAAGGAGCTCAACTCTGTTTTGGTTAGCTACTCTACAATTCTATATTCGCGAGCTCGTTCTATAGTGTCTTCGTCGTCTTTAAGAACAAATTGTTCATACAGGGTGTTTCACAGTAATATTGCAGTGCAGATCTTTCCACTCTCGAGTACAACAGTGTTGAACACGGAACTTTTACCCTGGTCGTGCGTTCGGATGTGGGCGTTCATATAAAAGACCCCTGTTAATAATGGAGGTCATATTGTGTAAGTGCGTTATACACGAAACAAAGTTGAACATTCAGACAAGCACAGTTAACCTTTCAAACTCGCCATTATATTGTTTATGAAGAGGATTCCCCTTTCGAATGTCGTGTCATTGTACATGGGCTGAAGGGCGAGTGTGAACAGCTGGATCGAGGACGATAAGTTGATCTCTCAAATGACGTATTTACGACATAGCAGTGCACGGTTTCTCAGCTACATCACACATTTACTTCATTCTCAAGCGCGCCAGCAAAGAGAAGAGCAACCAGCTCAATCATCGCATTAGGATCATCATCCCTTCCTCCAGCCTCTTTTGTCTGACCTCCTTTGGAACTGTAATAAATCCGATTATCAAACAAGTTTCCTCTAGCTACTGGCGAGCTTAAGGAAGAAGGACTTTTGTGAAAAAAAAATGTGTATCAAACTATCAGCAATCATGTATAAAACTTGGCTTCAGGACTGTCTGGCTAGCATCTTGTAGAGCTTAAGCAGGATACGCACTGGCTCTGGATTCCCCTGAGCCCCCTGTACAAATGAGAAAATAGTCATTTTCTGGTATTTATTAGTCATTATAGGCTCAAAATTTATAAGTCCGGCTCACGACTCGCGCGAGCATTGCATTTACTCGACGAAATTTCACGTACGCTGACTCCGATGGTGCACAGGAAATGAACTGCCCTGAAACGATCCGCTTCGATTTATACTGTGAGTGGGAAATTATACATGTCTCTATTCGAAGTGGTAACAAACCTGTAAGTGAATTCGAAGAGTGTTCACAATGACATGTACTTGATGAGCACACGCTCAAAACAAAGCAACTCACTTCCACAATACTTCCACTTGAACAAAGTTGTTCAATGCTGGCTAGAAGTTAGGTTAATCTAATATGAATGATTATTTGACTCTTGACTCTATACGATTAACGCAGCTGCAAAGGCAAAAGGAAAACCGTTATAAGGACAATCGAAGCTCGAGGTACTCAATGCTAAAACTGAAAGCACAAAGAACCTCTTAGAAAGCATTCAGAGTGTAGTAAAAAGTACGACGATAAATATAACAAAGAAAATGTTCGCACAACTGTTGAAGCGCGTTCACGAATCACGAACTTTTTTCTCGAAATAAAACTCAGTCAATTAGAGCATAATCGAAAAGTTCACGAAGACAAAACTCTAAGACAAATAGAGCTTAAAGAATGGTTCAATATAAACACAGTAACATGCGCAAATTCCAACAATGTACGCTTGTTCGAACAAAAGAAATACTCACCACAGCGAGAATATAGCTGGATGTCCACTCGAATGCCAAATGAGCGACATATGTGTATGTAATGTAGTTTCGTCTAACAGTAAGAACAGGAAGATACTCTGTAGCTATAGGAGATCCTGCAGCTGATAGGGAAACCGATAATATACTGGACCGTCCGAAATTGAATACGATGCACGATAAAGAATATTTTCAGAACACAACGCCTCAACTTCAGAGAGGGCAGGAAAATACACAGAAAATTTTAGTATAGGGTAGAGATATTGGGCAAACTTTATTTGAGTTAAAGCAGGATTCTGTTTTGAGTTCAATACCCATCAGGTAGTGCTAGAGACTATCTGAGCTCATGAAGGTTATAATATTGCTTCAGAGCTATGTGCTTCGTGGAAGTCGAAAGTCGAAAGATGTTCCAGGTTTTTAGGTTATGTAGGTTGTTGTATGTTGGAACACAGATTTACAACTCGGAGTTATATCGGGCCGTACCTACTGTGTACTGAGGTGTAAAAAAGTAATAGGTATTACATCCACGACTACACACGAGAGCAGAAAAAACACATGATGTACGTTACGTACTCAAGTGCAAAAAACCCTTTGCCTTTATAAACAGCACGGTTCGATAAACAATTGCAATAGAAGAAGACCTGAAAACCACCCGCATTACAAGTCTGTGACAAGTTCTACGGGAATGTCCCACATACCTGTCCAACGTACAAGTAAAAGAACGCCACAAACAAGCCTTCACCCAGTAGATTACTGTAGATTACTCCATGCACCATGCAGATGCATATGACTCTGCTCCTCATTTACCTAGCTGATGAATAAGATTGATCGCAAGACCCAGTGTGCACACTCAATGTTCAGCAAAATATCTATACTATTGATGTGAGAAACCTGGGAACATCTTAGTTTCTGTATAGAGCAGCGAAACTTCAGGCACAAGTACTTAAATGAATGTGAAATGCAGAAAGAATCTAATATATCTTGTATAAAAGAACAAGGTTTGGCAAATCTATGAAGTCCAGGAGTTTCATACCTAGTCTACTTCGGTAATGGGAAGGAGAACGTAAATGGGCAACAAGCAACCAGTTCAGTCTACAACTGAAATTAAGGATCAACCTGCAGAACCAAGAAATTTGTGAAGACTTCATGACTTCAGGATAGAAGGTTAGAACTCAGAAAACCCCATTATTGTGGATTATGTCTGATTAAAAACAGCACTGTTTTCTGAGGAAAATTACCCAAGCGATCATGTGAAGACTAAAATTACGAGTTTATTTTATATAGCAGTTGAACATCCAGAACAGCGAACATCTTTTAGGGTTCTTACAAGGTACAAGAGGGGTTTGCAAGGTTCTCATGACTCAGACTAGGCAATTGGTGTATTGGATAGGAAACAGCTCCGAGCATGTGCTAGAACCTTGGGAACAGAAAGGATAGTTTCACGGTGCTTCAACAACCTGAATGTTCTTGCAACGTCTTCACGTAGAGACAAACAGAAAGCTTTCGTTTTCTTAGATATCTATCAGAACATACAAGAGAATTATCCAAAATCTAACCACCATCTACTAACAAAATTTGAGTAGTTAAATTAAGATTGCAAAAACAAGGTGACTGTTGACAGAGAGTGTTGGTAAGTCATTCTTCAATGAGGTAATGGTTAGTAAGTCACCCAGGTGAAGGTTGACATCGAAAGCGGAGGTATATGAATTAGCAGGTGTGAAGACTAGTATCAAAACACAGCCGCCATGATATATTAGCAATATAGGATAACATGCAGCGAAGAGCTTTCGGTGGCTTAAGTCTTTCAACTGTAAGATTGAACTGATTGAATTTGGAGCGAAGTATAACAATATAACATTAAGAACATGAGTAATGAAGTGAAGGTACATAAACCGGCATACAATATATAAATAGTAAGTAGAGAAAGTAATGTAGCATGGGTTGGAAACAGAAGATGACAATAGAAAAAACGACATACTATAACGGAAGTTACGTAATGAAACCCCTCCCTGTTGATGGATACGCAGAAAAGAAGAGATGAAGAGCCAATTGCAGCAAAAAGCAAAAGACTTCAATTCGATAACTATCTAAACAATAGAAGATCATATCAGAAATCCATGATGTGAAAAGTTGCTAAGATATACAAGAAGATTAACAAAATTCAATATTGCAGCAACATGCTGCATGGAGTATCTGACTATGCGTTATGCAGTCTGGGGATCTTTTACAATATTAATGTCCAGGCATCAAAAGCCACCGCTACCAATTGACTTCACTGGCTCTTTCAGTAAATTTCCTCCTGTCAGGCATGTTGAGTCTATGTGCACACTTCATAAATTACGAGAAAGAACTGTTGACTGGCAAGTTTACTTTCCCTCTCTTGTTTGCTATTTGGGGTTTCTCCCCTGAGTGTGATGCATGCTCTATCTTCTGAGTTTGTGCATGCACTCACATTGTGAGTGAATGATAAGGTAAGCAGAAGAGACAAGTGTTAACAGACATCAGAGGTGAAAGATTGAACGATGCATAACCCCATAACTCATGTTTGACATGCAGAACTCCCCGCAGATAATCAAAAACAGAAAAAACTTTTGCCACACTATTAAGTCATAGAAACTGAAGGAATGAAGCTTCCCCTCCAGGAGAAGACTCGTACAAATACAGTATCAGGTCACTAGCAAAAATCTGCGAAACTAGACTTCGTGGAGATGAATTGACAAGGATTCAGTCCACTAAATAACCAAAAGCATACAAAATAGAAAACAAAAATTGCATCTTTACCACTTTGAGACACTAACTCAAATGCAGACCAAATTCTCACTACTTTCCCAAGAAAATAGCTCTGCGCTAAGATTGTGGAACTGAATAGTGCTCAGTGCACACTAACCTAGAAAGAATCCAGAATCCGACGAGTAGACAATACAGAATTTAGCACGTTGTTTCAAAGATAATATGAGAAAGGCAGGTTGTCGGACATGGAGTATTGATAATCGTAAAAAGCATCATCTGCAGAGCTCAATGCAATTTTCAATTTTCAAGTCAATCGTCGTAAATCTCTAGAGAACTTAATGAGGGTGTGATCGGTGTGGATGATAAAGTCAGACACACTCAGTAAGTAGAGACAATCAATCAATGTCGCTATCCTAATCTACGAAGTTTCTTACGTCCTAGATCAGGAGACAAGTATAATCAACAAATTTTCATTCTAAAGAAGTTTATTCTAATCATTCTATACATTACAAATTTTCATCCGATGCTGTACAGGACAATCTTCATGCGAAGAAAATCCTGAAATCGTACAAGAAGCGATTTTGGATAGGACGTAACTGAAATGTCAGAGGTATGCCACAAAAGTTCGTTGTAGGAGACAAACCTCGCGATCCGACCAGTGCTCTCGCCAATGAATCACCGATTGCGGTACCGCTACTTTTGTTGATACTTTTATGAACTTAGCTTGAATGCCTTGAAGCCAATTTATCATGCTTAATGATGTCTTAATAATTGTACATATTCCAATTTTAGACGTTACGGACATAATTGGATTCCAGTAGAATGATACATCTTTCATCGATTGTCATGAATGTTTGCAAGGGTTATATCACGCATTAAAATAAATGCGATATATTCAAAGTTTTTAAAAAAAAAACCTCAAGTTTTATTGAAAAAAAATTCAAATTCTTTCACTAAAATTTACAAAAAAATATTTTGCTAGTTCTCTTTAGTTATATAGTTCCAAAATTTTGATGTTTAAACTGCAATCTAGTTAAAATATGTTACAATAAATTCTAGGTTAATTTTTAACAATTTTCTTTTTATTTCATTTAAATATTGACAACCTCATGTTTCATTCAGATTCATGTTAATTATAATTTGATTTAACCAAATAGTTTTGTTTGTTGCTTTTGTTGTCATTACATATTTAATTTTTTTTGAAAATAAATTTACGTAATATGAAAAATAGATTTTCAACAAATGTATCCACCATCAAATGTAAACACATATTTAATTATAAATTTATTCTTCTACAAAGTTTGTTCACTGAACATCAATATGACTTAACAAATATTTAACATTATTTAATAAATCATCAAACAAAATATCATAATATTAAATTTTTTTCATGTAACCCATGTTCATGGAATTTTTTTCATGTTATTTTTTCTATATATACACATGGATCATACACATTTCATGAAAAAATATTGTGATATAATAAACTAATAAAATTTTGCATTCTATTGTCTAGAAGTTTGATTCAATCTATATTATGATTTTAGCAATATACAAATCAATTTCTCTTGAATTTTTTTTTCACTAGTTGTGTCATATAGATTTTTAACTTCAAACTTACGTAAAAGTATGTTGTAACTACATACATCAAATTCATAATCAAACTTTATATTGCAAGTAACTTCACACATCAATAAAATTATAACATATTTTGTTATAAATGAGATAACTTTGTTGTGATCTATATTATTCTTTTTTGTGAAATCTCTACCTATCAATCTTGCTTTGAATATGCTATTCTTGCTTTAAAGAGTTTTTCTTGAAAAATACTTCAACATATGATACCAACTTGTTATCAATTAAAATTTGATCTTCTAAAGTTTCACTAGCTCCTAAGTCTTGTTATACATCAATTAATTTATTTTGTGTTTTACAACATTATTTCACTCAAATTTACTGAGAGTGTCTTGAGTTTATCTAAAAAAATATTTACTTTTTCTTTCAATATCATCATTCTTAATTTCATTCTCATGAACTTCAATAATGAATAAATCAGTCCATGATTCATATCTTTTAGAAGTTTAACCAATCCGATTTGATGATTTTCAGCAAACAATTATGATTAATTTCTATCATTTGATGCAATTACTTGAATTTCATCAACAATGATTTGCTACTCCACATATTACTTTCCAAAAATTTACTACATCTGTATCAAGCCCTCTTCTTATGACACATCATTAAATTCATGATGATCATTTTTTCACTCAATAACATTCATGAGTGAAGATTTGTCCTTAAAACTATGGGTGTATACAAAAAAAATTACTCTTTTAATAATCTAAATTTTTAATAAAAACATTTCTATTGATAATAATTTTACATACTAGATTCATTTATAGTCTATTATGCTTCAATAATCTAATTTATCCAACAAAAATAAAACTAGTTTTGATTATGGTATCCATTCAAGTCAAAAAATTTTCAAGTATGAAAAAACAAGTTGTTCAACCAAGAATTTTTGAACTATCATGATCAGCCAATTCTCTGTGCATCAATTCAAATTGAATAAACAACTTAATTGCATTAGAAGCTCAAAAATGTACAAAATACACTACGGTATTACCCATATTTAAAATTCATATGATGACAAAAATTGGTTGAACATACCATCATCTTCTCAAACACTATTTGATTGAAATTGTCAAAAACGATTTTTTTTTCATAAGATGACAAGCAATTTTTCTAACTTTTTAGTAATTTTGAAACTTCTAAAAGTATGTGTTTATCATAATTATATGCAAATATCTCATTTTGTTTAAGTTTAAGTCTGAACTTGGACATTCTAGCTTTTAAAAGTTATAAAAACCTCATATTTTTGTGTAAAGTTATAAAAACATACAAATCTTGAGTAATATATATGATACATAGTATAAGTTTTCAAAGATTAAGAATTTGAAGTATAAATTTTCAAATCATTATGTATATACTCAAATAACTATTTATTTTTGTGAGTTTCAACACTATAAACTTTTCTATGATGTTACAAACTCATATCATCAAGAAGTGTCAAGTAACTATTGTTCATATTTACAGGCATACAATATCATACATGAATCTTCTCAATTCTAAAGTTAGTAAACTTTACTTCATTAAAGATGATAATCTTTTTTGCTAATAGGAATTGTTAATCTTGTGTTTTTTCACATAATTTTATTACATATTTTTACCTCAAACACTTTGGATCTAAAGTTTCAATCAAGATATTTGAATTTAATATTTGAAAATAGATCAATTTTTTATATCAGGTTTAAATTTAAATTAAGTAAAAATATGCTTGACTTCATCAAAAAGTCAAGCATATTTTAGATTCTACTAGATTAATCATAATGAATAAAACTTAAAAATTTTGATGTAAAAAAAATACTAAAAAAATTTGAATGTTAACTAAAAAAACAAAAAATAAAAATAATTAAAAATAAAAACAAACAATATCTAGAGTACATACATCATCAACATTACTTGATGAGTTGCATAAAATAGTACTCTTACATCATAATCCATTTTCAAGTAATTCATAATTTTTGAATCAAAATTTTGAATTATATTGACAAAAAGAATATTAAAAGTTCTAACATGATCACTCTTGTCACATTTTTAACAAACTATTGTTTTTTTTTAAGATTTTACTCTAGATATGAATTTAACTCTAGATTCAAAACACTTACCAACCTTGTTAATCATATTTATTGCATGTAAGATGAGTGAAGTAGTTGTTAGAAGTAACCAAGGAGTTGATCATGTTTAGCTTAGTTATAACTAAGTCTAGCTAGTTCTAACTAAATTTATCTAGTTATAACTAAGTATAACTATTGTACTTCTACTTGGAAAAATAATTAAGATAGTTATAGAAGCTTTGAGTGAAAACTAATATTTTGTATCTTATAAATATTTAGATTCCAAAAGAAAAAAACTTTTGATAACATGATTAAATTGATTTTTTTGACTTATTAATGGAAAGTTTATTTGTTACACCAAGTTTAAAGTTGACTTTATGGCAAATGGAGATTTTAGATGTTTGAAAGTTTTAAATAACAGGTCACCACCTCAACTTAATGATTACAAAATTTCTAGAAGATTTAGGTAGGCCAATGGCATATTGCCGTATATTGAAAACTAGTGAAATCTTTGTAAAATTAAACTTTGATAAAAATTACTATATGTTTCTATAGTATTAATTCAAATAGTATAAGTAAAGAGTAAAGAAGAACATCTCAAGCAAGTTTTGAAAACTCATTGTGTGAAAACTTGTTTCATCAACATAGGTTTGAAATTCACTATACTTTTGAATATTGATGAATGTTTGCAATTGAATGATAAGTGAAGAGTTTGTGTAATTAGATGTTTGAGGCATTAGCACATTATATAGTACTTACCTTCTAGAATCATGATTTGTTGAACCTTGAACTTAGTTATAACTTGATAAACTTAGTTATAACTAGATAGACTTAATCATAACTAAGCTAAACATGATAAACTCCTTGGGTATTTCTAACAACTATTTCACACATACAGTAACTGATCTTACAAAGCAAGCTTTGCGTATTCAACTAGATGAATCAAAAAACGATCTAAGATAGATGAAGTCTAAGATTTGCAACCATGTTTGTTTGTCAATGTTTTATTCAATCTCTCGTTGATTTGCACTCATTGCATTCCAAAGATGTGGAGTCTAGATTGGAATTCAAAATAGAGACAAGCAATGACTGCAAAAATGTACTCTTTGTTGGTATTATGAAAGCCAAGCAAGTTGTTTGAGTGAAAATTGCATGTCATTTCTGACGTATATAAATAAATAAATATATTTATATTTATATTTATATACGTCAAATTGCTATTTACCAATAAGCAAAAAGCAAAGAAGAGTATTTGATGCTAGATTTGAAATTGAGACAAATTTTTCAACACTTTGAAGTTGTCACATGCTCTTTTTTGTTGTGAAAGATTGAGAATCAAAGCTCTGAGGCTTTGATTAAATATATTTTTCCTTCAATTAGAATTGGATAGAGGCAAGAAGAAAAATCGCTCTATGACACCTTATGAAGATGTATGAGCCAAGTTTAGAAGATAAAAATGCAAGTTTTTGTCCAAAAACTATTCAAACAATACACGAGGATGAAGTAAGTATCAAGGAAGTCTCACTAATAAATCCAATAAAACTTCTTGAGCAATTGAAAGAGTAAGCTTACGATGCACAAAGAACAAATTTGAGTAGAAAGAAGTAAGACAATGCTATCTGAGAGGTGATCTTGTATGGAAATTGAAAACATTTGAAAAAGTATTGTGACTATGCAAGCAAAAAACGTGTGATGGTGTTGATGTCTAAAAGAAAGCAAGAAGACGGAAAAAAAGTGAAGCTTCTGAACACAATAAATGAACGTAGTGCAGAAAAGCTAGCTGTTGTTTTTTCGCGGACAAAGAAATATTATGGATCTCAAATTGGCGTGACATTTTAAGGATGTGATGTTCAAAAGGAATACTTAATTGGAGATGTTGTGGTCAACTTTTTTGCCTCATTGTTGCGGTGTTTTCAGAATAGGTATCTCCGCATGTAAAGGATTGTGAAACTTGTTGACTTTGAATTGAAAAGAGAAGAAACATTAGCAAAGATCATGAAAGTAATGATGAAAATTTACAAATGAATGACGAGCTTAACAACACAATGACCTTGAA